CTATTTCTATCTTTCTCTCGGCAAACCGCCTCCCCCGAAGCCATTCGTTTCCGAACGAGAGCGGCTAAAGGCGGACACGCGCGCGGCGCTAAGCGACAGCCACTAGCCAATTTACGATCGCGCAAGCGCATCCACCGAACTGCATCCTACGTTCGGATGCAGTTTACTGAGACGCATGTACTCTGAATCGAACGGCTACTACTATTGCGGGCCCCTTTTGGTCTCGCCCTCGCCCGCAGAAATTCGCCCACGAGAATGCCGACGGCGCGGGAAGATCGCGCCGGCCGATCCATCGATCGCTCGCGGGCGATTCGATACGTCTCGAGAATTCCGCACTTCGATCTATGCTTTATTTTAAGTTAGGAAAAATATGCCATCCCACAGCTTTTATCGTTAAAATTGCATCTGTATCTCCTTGAGGGGGAGTATAGAGAAAGCAAGTGTCAAATATAATCGTGAGATTGAAAAGATACAATAATTGTGTGAGAAAACAAGTACAAACGAAATTCTAATCGTATGAATCAGAATTCGAAATATCGTATTCTTAATATCTAGTTATCTCGACTATGTTTGATAGATTTAACTGCAAGCATCCGATTTGTACCTTTCTGGCTGAATCTACAAGAATTCCAATTAATGCAATAAGACTTCTTTCCAGTATTTACAAACGTAACTTTTCTTCTCTATTTACATTTAATTTCAAGATTGTAACTTTATAGGGCTTACGCTGCGAATAATGCATTTCTGAACGAATGTTTGACAGTCGTATTACAGCTGGCTAATTTATGATCATGCTCGTATGCATACAAATCATTTTAGCAGTCGTCAATCTGATGCGAATATGGATGGTTCTATGATTGTGAACTTTGAAACACAATGATTTTCCATATTATATTACATGTCTCTTGTATTTAAATCGTGTGCCGTTTAATAATAGTTTGATCGTATAGTACTGATACTTGGACTTGTCTCCCCCTCCCCCCGCCCCCCCACACACACACATACACACATACACACGGGCATTTATACATACCAATATTCATATGTAGGCAGGAACACAAGTACAAACTCGTGCAGACAAACGTACAAACAGACCTCATAGCAAATTTATTTTTAAATTGATATTTAATGATGACAAAGGACAATTGATTCAAATTGATTTTTAATAATATCTTATTTTCGTCAACAATTATAAAAACAGTTTATTGCGTATCCTGCGCGCCACAGGGTTACGTCTGACTATTGGGAAATTTACCTTACGTTCAACTAAAATGTATTAAAAAAATTCCATTTTTTTTATTTGATTTTTATTGACTAGCATTTTTTCTGTTTTATTTTTATTAACTAAGGTTAGTTTGACATTAATTCCTTATAAGATTTGCACCTTAGATATAAATATTATGTATAATTTTGTTTCCCCAAAATCGAACCATGACTTTGAAATGTGTTATTAAAAAGATCAATCTTTAATTTTTCAAATCTTATACTTTTTTACATTTATAATAGTTTATTTAATTGCAAAAATCAATAATTTTTAAAAAGAAAGGTAACGCGGCGCTGTTATCAAAGTGAGTATTGTATTTTGCTGGAAAAATATTATTATCCTCTTATATGTATTTGTCACATTTCAAGTATTCACGTTCAGGAAATAAGACGAAAATACAGAATTTTGAGATTTTGTTGTAAAATTTTCACACGACCCATGGATGTCCATTGGACGTCCAAAAGATGCCTTGAACTTTCCAGATGGGCGCCCATTTCATAATAGGTCCCCCCATGGATATCCGAAGGGCATGCAATAAATGTACCAATGACCGCCCATTTGACGTCAAATGAGCGCCCAACGAACATCAAATGGGCGTCCATTCGAAGAATTCAGAGCGTTCTTCGGATGTCCATGTGTTGTGTGGGAAGTATATTCCATGGATGCCCGAAAGACGTCCAACGGATGCATAAATGACCGCCCATTTAACGCCTATTGGCCTATGGGCGCCCACTTTGGCAACACAAAATGGATATACTTTGGGCACGTTTCTAATCTCTTCAGATTTCATCAGCGCTCATTATTTGCTTCTTCGACGCCCATCAACGTCCATTGGATGTCTGACGTTCGTGCGACATCCATTTCTGATTAGAATAAGGATCAAATATGAAGTACAATTTTTGGCGGATTTTGAGAATTATAACTATTTTTCATTGCAAATTTCCAAAATCTGTAAAAATTATAAAAATAATATATAGGTATATATTTTTATACTTTTTGTAGATTTTAGAAATTAACTCTATACTGCAATGGAAAATAGTTATAATTCCCAAAATCTGAAAAAAATTAAAATCTGCTTCTATCATAGAAAAAGGTACATAGGTATTTTTATTTTCTTCCAAAAGTATATTATTTAAGTATAATGTTTAAAAACTTAAGTATTTAATAGAATTAATTTTGTCATTCTTTTCCACGCTACCCTTAAAAGTTAAATGCAACGCATATCTTATAGTGGTATTCTCTAAAATCTAAATGATCTATTTTAAACATAGGGAGGGAACACAAAATGTGATACTTTATAGCAGATTAAATAGAATATAATAAATGAAATTACTTGTAAAAGTATAGAAGTAATACATATATAACAAGCAAAGACAAGATCACACGAGGACAATTTCTTATAAGTATTTCATATCTGAAAAACATTTTCTGCAAACTGAAAGATACGTCGTTTTTGTTACAGTATTACGAGATGTCATACGGACTCAACGTTGAAATGCACAAACAGGTAAGTTTTCCATTCCTTTGTTAAGTAATGATTAATTCTTTTGATCCACCGATTTAAGGCCACGACCAGTATTCTAATATAGTATAATATAGTATAACATTGAAAATTAACTAAATTAGATAAACTAGTATTATATGGAGAATTGATAGCTAAAACATTTAGAAGGGATAGCGATCCCTCTTCGAATATATTCTTAGGATGTATTTCCATGTAATTCTTCAAACATTGCATACAATTAGATCGTAAGATCGAGTAATGTAATCTTTAAGTAGCGCGTAACGCGAAGTTAATCAAGATCACGTTTAACTCGGATGCTAATTGTAAGTATCCGAGTAGCCCTTCGTTAATTGAGCCCGGGGTCAGTGAATCGTCGGAATCGGCCGCGGTTGCAAATGAGGGGTGCGCGTTTAGGCCGGGAAATCGTGTAATTTCTGCTAATCAGGGGAAACTGCGGCGGGGCAGTCCCCTCTGTCAGCAATTTTCTTAAAAGCGGGCTACGGTGTAGCCCCTCGTCGCTACGCGGTCATGCTCGAAAGTGGGGCTTCCGAACTCCAAACAACCCTCCCGCCGTCCCACGAGCGGTACAACGAGCTGATATTCATTAGCATTAGCGGCCGATCATTTCTCACCCTCGTACCTCGAGGCGGCGCTTAATGGGCCGAGGCGCGGGAGGCGACTATACGTTCTCTCTCGGGCTCGGGTAGTTATAGGGCGTAACACGGCGCTAGAATCACCGCGGAATTGTTTCCGGCGAATAATGCACGAGAAATCAGAACGTCTTTTAAAGAAAAGAAAAGAAAAGAAAGAAAAAAAAAACAATCGATACTATTTTAAACGGTTCTCGCAGATCTCGCGATCCGAGCTACGAGAGAGGTGTCTTTTAAAATTAGAATAAGGTCGTCGAACTTGATTTATTAATAACGAAGACTGCAAACGTCTACGTGTCATCTCGAATTCAATTAGCTAAGGGTTTTGCTTTTGATTAAATGGCTTATCTTGAAAAGATAGTGTATCGAGTAATTAAATAAATCTTCATTCCTTCTTTTACGTAGACTAACGTAAGCTTGCTAAATTGCTATATATTGAGGAGTCTAAAAATACGTTCTTCGATATACGTCATTTTTTTTCTCTCGTCAACGACGATAAAACTTCTGAAGACCCCGTATGAAAAGTTATCGGCTCTTTAATTAACTGTACGTGATAATATCGCGCCGATGTCCCGCGATGAAACTTCTGAGAGATCCGTTTCGTATAATTTGTAAATTTGTCGGATAATAATATACGCCAGATGTTAAAATAAAAATCGACAAAGTAAGACCACTCGGAGATCGCTGGAAAATCAAGTCAGGACACCGCGACTGCACAAATTGCAGCGGAGATAATGTAACACAGCGAAACTCGCTTCTCTGACGCTAATTGGAAGAGAAATGAAAAGTTATCGGTTCTTGGCGGCTCTCTAATTAACCGTGATAATATCGCGCCGATGCCATGCGCTCGTGAACGCGCGATTAAATCTCTTTTGCCAGCTTATTCACATTAATTGCTATCTTCCAAGCGTATTAGACGATGATTTTGCGATGTACAAAATCAGTTGGTGTGATATCTTGAAAGAAATTAACTTGATAAATTTTTCAAATTTTGTTATAATCATTTGGAAGTACGGCTTTATTATTCATTGACGTTCCGTACTTCGGTTTCTTCATTTGCTATCAACGACCTAACGGGCCTAATCTCTCAAAAAATGTATTTATTACTTTCGGGGATGTCGCGCGTCGCGTCAGTATCAAAATCCAGCCTCGATCGGCAAAAAAAAAAAAATAAATAAATAAATAAATCAAGCTCCCTCTAGTCAATCCCCGCCACTTAGCAGGCTTTCGCGTCGCGGTTTTCTCGCTCCTTTTCAATTTGAGCCCCCGAATGAAAACAATCTTCCCCTACAAGGTTAGATCCTTCTGTATCTCTGCCTCGCTCTTTTTCCCGTTTCACCACCCCTTCCGTTTTTACCCTTTTCGCTCTCCATCGTTCCTCGCGCAGCATTCTCCTCCTCTCTCGCGTTCCCTTTCTCTGCCTTTGATTTTCCGTCGCATTTTGCCCACCCTGTGCTCTTCTCTATCCTGTAAGCCTCTCCCTGCTCGTCGCTTCCAGAATGCTAGCCATCCCTCGCATCTGCGACCCTCGTATCTCCTGCCACAGCTCGAAGTCGACATTTGCCTCTCACCCACCCTACCGCAGCCACCACTTTACCACTCTCTACTCGACTAACTCGAATTTGTTGGCGATGTCCCAGTTCTTGTAGGTACGATTACTTCTCTCGCTTCATCTGTTTCCTCATCCCCAATAGCAGTCTTGAGTTTTCTCCCTTCGGTCAGCCTCACTCACGAACATTGGCTTGCTCGCGCGCGCGTGTTCGATTTAATTGCATGATATAGATTGGCGACCGATCGCGCTCGTCCGAATATTCGTCTCTTGACTCCCGCGGTGACGAAATCAAGTTTTTCGCAACACTTCCGAAGTTTCTCGTCTCTCATCGACGTCACTCTCACACGAATACCGTTTATTATGAAGAATCTTGGAAAAATTTGGTAGAAAAATCGCTAAAAATTTAATTTCAAAATGTATTAAATAATATATATAGGAATAAAATAACGCCTTCAAATGAAAATTAAGGCGTTAAGTTAAAATTTATTATTAAAGAGATGGCCGGCGTCGTCTCGGACAAAAATATCATTTTTGTTAATTACTTCATATTATAGCTTCATAAAATTTTTTTATTGCGATTAAAGTAATCTGGCTCTGATATATTTTATGTCTGAAGCAGGTAAAAAAAATCAAGAAATTACAAATTTCTTTATTCACTTTTACCTCAACTAATGTTATCAATATATTAAAATATTTACTTTGTGGAAAAGTTATGCAGATTATGTAATAATCGAAATAAAGGCAGAGCTAGATATAAAATAAAGAAACGAATACATGTGAATCAGCTGAATTAAGTTTAGAAATGTAAACAAAAGTATTTTAGTATGCGACAAATTGTGAACATTGATATAGTTGTATACGGTGATGTGTCACATTTAATCAGTAAAATAACAATCCTGTCGAAGTTTAGCCGTCACGCCAGCATCTTAAATATACAAGATTTATTTAGCCATCTTCAGCTGTGAATTAGTGCAATAAATTAACACGTAACGACACGCAAAAATTTAGATACATTAAAAGCACTAATAATGAAAATCAAGGTACATCGGATCCACGTAAGTCTCAAAGACATCTTTATTATATGATGTCTGAAAGACATCTTAATGACGTCTTCAGAACGTCTTACGTTCGCATTTTGAACATATTGTTCTCTAGAGGAGTTTCACAGTCTGTAATTTAAACTTTCAGTTGATGTACAACATGATGTTAAAAATCAAAGTAAATTCTTCTCGTTGCCGTGAGAGAGTGACTTGGAAAGATTGATGAATCGCTGAAAAGTAGGAAATATTTATAATAAAAATTATACCTTTTCAAATTTTCGAATTAATACGATATCGTTCGTTAATACGTGATAAAGCTTTTTTCATCAGTCGTCCTATTGGATTCTTGCGTTCCATCGAATTTCATCGTATACGAGTTTCTCCGGAAAACGAGATTTGCAGCGATAGAGAAAAATGGGCGGCTCGCAAAAAGCGGCCGCGACTACGCAAAAGAAAAGCGCGAAAGAGAAAGGGTGGAATAAACTGGGCGAATCAGAGCGACGGCGAGGACGAGACAGAAGAGCTAAAAACTCATCGCGACGCGACTGGCCGCGCGTTACGTTCTCGCCCTATTCATCCAATCGAGTCGTACGTACATACGTACATACATTCGACTGCCGGTATATCTGTCCGATAACGCTTATCGCTTAATTGAAAGGGACGTCCTTCGGTGCGGTGGACGGCCGCCTGCTCGTTGCCCCGCTCGATTAAGCCGCGATCCACGGTAATATGTCGCGGATACATTATGCGCACGCGATCACGAAATGGGTCATTACCGAGACTTGGGTCATAGCCGAGGAAATTAGAATTAACCACGAAATCCCGAGGAAATGAGGTAACAACAAATTAGTTGCATTCGTTTTGATATTTTAATATCACATCATTAGTTCGCATCAAGCTGCGCGGGAGCCTTTAATTAAAAACTTAGAGATTATAAGGCCCCCAGTTTCACGATTCGCGGTCAACTCTTTAACCGAGGTTCAACTTACCCTTTGTCAAAGAGATGAGGGATAAGCCGAACCTTTCGGTTAAAGTGTCGACCGCGAATCGTGAAACCAGATCAGAAAAAAAGGGAAGACAAATTTTTATTTTCATTTATCCGTAACCAATTAAAGTTATTAGATATTCTTTGATTTTTATCAACGTCCCGTATTGAAATTATACCCGAGCACAAAAAAATCGAAAATGGCAATAACTTTTGCATTATCCTAGAAGAGAAATCAAGCCGCGCTCAAAAGTTATTACGAATCGCATCGTCTCTAAGATAGGAATCCTTCGGGTGGAAATATCGAATTGAAGACGGCGGCGTTCTCTCTCGAAAAAGCGCGCGTCTCTTTGGAAGAATATTGCCGCGGCGTTGTTGGCGTTGTTCGTCAATACAAGAGTAACTACCATTTCCCCATCGCGGGTTCGCTCGGCGTCCGATAAAAAATGTGCAGGCTGACCAATTGCGTATAACTCACCCTGCCTTTCCAGTTCTTCCTGCCTTCATACATATATACGTCTATCTATCCGGGCTTTCTGTCTTCTGCTCTCTCTCTCTCTCTCTCTCTCTCTCTCTCTCTCTCTCTCTCTCTCTCTCTCTCTGGTCGTCTCTCCCTCTCACCTTCGTTCTTTATCCTTTTTTTTTTAAATTCTCTTGCTCCGTCTCTCTTTCGGTGCGCGCGACCCCTCTCGCTCCGTCTCCCACGGGTTCTCTTTCGGCGGTCGGGGGTCGCTTTTCCAGGGTTCTCTCGTTCGTACACACGTGTTAGCGTGCGAACGCGCGAGCGGGCGGACGAGAGAGAGAGAGAGAGAGAGAGAGAGAGAGAGAGAGAGAGAGAGAACGCGCGTATACACGTTCGCACTCGCACTCGCAATCGCACTCGCGCTCACTTGCGCTTGCTCGCACGAACACCTATGCCGCGCGCGCATACACCCTCCTAGGGGTCGTGTATTCGAGTTCTTTTATTTTGCCCTGTGGAGGTAGCAGAGGGTTGAGTCGAGCGAGAGAGCGGAGAGAGCGCGAGGGCTGGGGGCGATGACATCGATTTTTTACCCGTTGCTAATCTCAATGTTACCTCCACCTCTTTCTCCTCCTCCTGATCTACCTCCACATCCACCACGTTTTCCTCCACCTCCCGTTCGGTCATCTC